GGGGGGGGTAATGGCGTGTGAGGGGAGGAGGGGAAGGGAGCACGCCGGACCGTGACGAGCCGCATTGCGAAACGTTCGCCGACCTAATCATATCGTGACCAGGTGCGCTAGACCGTGAAATGTGACGCAGCGAACGCCGAGGCGAGCCCCGCACACAAGCAGCGGTGGCGCCCCCATGCGAGTCAGCATCGTGGTGGTTAGAGGGGAGGGAGAGAGCGACACAGGGGGGGAAGAGAGAGAGAGAGAGAAAGGAAGAGAGAGAAAGGGAGAGAGAGAAAGGGAGAGAGAGAGAGAGAGGAGGGGGGAGGAGGGGGGGGGGATCCAGCAGGACAGCTCGCGACTGCAGCAGGGCGGAAGAAGAATGACGAAAATGCAACGGCCGATTACAGAGGGTCCTGGACGTGCGGGTCGTGAGGTGCGGCCCTGCCCTCCCCGGAGACCCTCCCCTACGCAGAGAGCAAGGCAGGGCCGCCGGACACAGCAGCCCTTTCACTTCCACCGGCCCACGCCTACGCGTGCGATTGTGCACCAGCCGCTTCCGCTTCTGGGGTTCATTAAAAGTTTTCGAGTAGAACGCGAGCCCCCTGGTGGTGTACGCGGCTGCGTCGTCTTGCACGTGAGTGAAAGGAGGGGGCGGGAAGGGAGAGAACCACGAGAAAAGGGAGAGTGGGGTAGTGAGTGGAGAGAGAAAGGGAGAGAGAGAAAGAGTGAGAGAGAAGCTGTAAGTAGGAGTGAGGCGGACGAATGATATTCATTGCGATGCAATGCGATGCATACTCCATGCACACACAGTGCGCCCCGGCGTCCTTCTGCTAGAGCGAGCACGCCGCATGCTGCAAGAGCTGCGAGCAGAGAACTACAAAGCTGGAGCGCCCCCCGCTTGACGCGCCCCTCGCTCGCGTGCCCCGCACCCCGCGCCCGACAACCATGGGTGCAGTGGTTGGCGAGGCGCCGTGCAGCGTGCAGCCCGGCCCAACTGGCGGACCCAAACAGAAGGAAGCGCCCAGCGCACGCAGAGAGGGTGGATAACAGGTTTGCGTGGAACGCTACTCTTGAAACGCATCGAAAAACATCGCTGCAAGGGTGGCGTGGTTCCAAGTTTCTTTACGAACTATCGATAACTCGAAACGATATGACTAGTGAGAGCGAGACTCTCGCACCGGAGCATTTATAACTCCCCCTCACTCCCACCAGCACCAGACCTTTTTCGGGCGCATTATTTCGGCATCCGATGCGGGGCTCCGCTGCGACGGCCGGCGGCATGTGCCCTGCGCGTC